AAGAGACAGCCAGTACAGCTGTTGTAATCTGAGTTTTTGCAGCCCGTCCTTATTAATGCTTTTCTCTAAATCTTTAATAACAGAAAAATGCCGTTCTTCCCAACGTGGCTGATGACTCGGCTCATAGCCTACAGGAGTAAGATTTTTTCTTGCCGTGTCCATATTCCCTTGCACCGAGTTTTTTTTGCCTCACTTTTACGTTTCTTTTGCCTCACTTTTATCTACGGATCATCCCCAATAAAGGGAGGACACAGACCAGACAGTTCAGATTCTTTTTCAGGATTTACAGCATCAGGGTCTAAAAGATTATCACACCATTCTGCCTCTTCAAACAATAAATTTGGCTCTTTAAAGTGTCCCTTAGCCTTGCCCAGACCAATCAGCGCGGCTAAGTTTTTTATCGGACTTACTCCCCGCTTTTCTAAAAAGCAAAAATTTTGAGGACTACCTCTCGTTTAAATATTCCTGCTTGGGCAAATTCCTCAAATTCCTGGTCGGCTGAACAACCTTCCTTAAATTCCGATCAAGTAGCCAACAACCAGTGAAGGCTGTTCCTGGGTATTATCTTTTCAGCCTGTAATTCCTTTTGGCCTTTCCAGGGTCGAACCCGCAACACGGCCTGGCCTTTCCAGGGTCGGACCCCCAATGCGGCCAATTCGGGGGTAGCCCTCTTCGGATCGCCAAAATCCCCTGTAGCCGGACCAGCTGCGCTATGTCAGACTTATGAATCCCGATGCTTTAGGAGACGGCACGCATCTCCTGCCATACTGCTGTCGACAGTGACCTTATCACCTTCCAGCTCCGAATTTTTCCGTTCCGCCGCTTCCTGGGTTCCGTCTGATGAAAAAGCAGAGTCTGGGTAACCCTGTTCGGGCGCCACTTGCGGCGGGCGGAGGAAGCAAGCAGCCAATTCAATGTGAATGATAGAGCAAGCTTCAACTTTATTGATAGAAATCACACCTTATACAAGCAATCTACAATACACTACTTGTAACTCTATTGGATACATTTAAGAAACTACATTATAATATCTCAGCCATTGGGTACATCTAAAAGGTCACATTATAATACACCAGCCCCTTGTGGCATCTCTGGTATGCATAAACATCTTTCTTACTGTGAACCTGCTTCTCTCCCAGGGCTGCTTTTCTCTGACCCCCAAGGTCATAATGCGCCCCAACTTATCTCTGTGTTCTCACAACAAACCTCATTAGCACAACTGAGCCCTGGGTCTTCATCCTTGTTTACATAACTGTACCCTGGGTTCTTTCCTTTGTTTACCTCATGTGGCTGGGACTGACTTCTGCAGGGAGCTATGGCCCACCAGCTCCTGCAGGGAGCTATGGCCTTGCTCTCTGCAAGCCATTATCCAACATGTAACCAATAGAAAGATGAAATAAACAAAGACTAGCTGGAGGGGTCTGGTCCCACAAATTAAGCATTAATAAATTGTACCTGAATATTAAATTGTATTCCCATTTAAATCCTTATTGACCTTCTAATGTGACTGTGTAACCTCAAAGAGTTTTAGAAAATTTAACTTGGCATATGTATGTACTAACAAGGTATACATTTAAGGAATTAAAGGTGCAGATCCACCAAGCATCTAGGATGGCGTTGCAGAATCCAGCTAGCATTGCTGAAGGAACATGGACTGTGCAGTGTGCTGAGACTGACTGAGGGAGAATGCTGCATCCCCATCCACAATACACCTCTGCCATCACCTCTACAGAGGAGACCCATGCCACAATGAAGAAGATTGCCAACAGGAACAGAGAACTTTTTCGACCGATGAACTGGTTTGATGGATGGACCCTGGGTCATGGGTAACATCACCGGGATCCTCAGGACTTACGGGGTGGGGAAGATGGCTTGCAAATATTAGTATTGTAAAATTGTGCAAAGTTTTGCTTTTCATAGTATGCCTTGCAGCAATTAGATATATGCTCTCTTACCTTCTGTCTTCTTTTTTCCCTATACCCTTTGAGATCACAATGGTCAAAAAACTTGGAGTGTTTGAGTCACGGGGTGGGATGTGAGAGCCGAGAAACCAGGCCTGTGAGAAACTAAGAAAAACAGCCTGGGAAAGCAAAAGTTGAGGCTGATTGAAGATTTGCCTCAAACACTTGCAAGACAAAACTGTGAGTCACAGGGTGCTTTCTGTGGAGGCCGAAGCTGATAACGCTGCCCGATGTATCTGGGAGAGAAGCCCTGTGGAGACTGGTCGGCTCTTCTCTGGGGCACCTGGGCAAATTTCAAGGGCCATGTGTCCGGTGAATGAACTTTGCTTCATTATCCACAAAATGCATATTAAAGTTGACACCCCTCAATATGCTAACGAGGGCTGTCATGAACATGCTAATTACATCATCCCATGAAACACCTTACCCCTCCCCATACATGGAATACGTAGGTCTGTGGGTCGACCTAGGGGACGGACTCAAGGAAAGTGGGTATAAATCAAAGGGGAGAAGAAAAGGCTCTCTCTCTCTCTCTCTGCCCCTCTCCCTGCACACCCCCCACCCCGGCCGTCTGGAGAGAGCAGTGAAGCGAAGAAGACGGATGCCAGGAAAGAAGATGGCCGCCTCCTGGAACCCTCGCCAGCAGGATCAGCGCAGGAACCCAGATCGGTGATCTGTATTCCCCCATTCCCTCCATCTCCCTCTTTTCCTTTTTCTATTAAGAAATGCAAAGCATATTATATTGCTCGCCACAGCTTGCTCTGGACTTAGCCAATTATCATGTCTTCAATTAGTACATTGTAGGTAGTTAATAAATGCTTGAACTTGGAGACTTGTCCGCTCCAATTGGGGATTTGCAAATCTGAGACACTTGTCCCCCTCCTCAGAGAGGGACATGACATAATCCTCACATGCACAATTAATCCATTCAAAGTGATGCTAGATCTCCTGATTAGTAGCATGCATAATCCTCATCCTATAGGTCCTCTTGCATCAAGTGGGATCTTAACAAACTTTTTATTCATTCTTGTGCTTGGACGTCCCCTTATCTTCTTCCAGTGTTCTAAAATACATCCTAGGGGACACTTTTTCACTATTCTCCCACTCTGGCTGCTTCCTATGTAGTCTACTTTATGTTAAAATGCTACTCAAGTAAGCTGACAATATCCCCCTCATGTAGATGGTACAGAGATGCACTCTCCCCACAGAGTACACACCTAAATTCAAGACAACAATTAACACAGAATTACTGTGTCCTGCTAGAAGATATATTTCACCCGTGACACTTAAAACACTGAGAATGAATAAACAGGCAGCACCCGCGACCCAGCAGGCGGGCACTAGGGCTCTGTACTAAGGAATGTTCACTCATCCTGCACTCCCCCTGTACAGAGTCTGCCCTGCGCTTTTTTCCTCCCTGGCCACTTCTCTGGCGGGAGAACAGAACCGCAGGGCAGAGAACTCCGCACCGTGCAGCTGCAGCTGGGCTGCGCCTCACATGCAAAACAATCACACAAGCACATGAGGAGGCCTCCTACACTTGTCAGTCACACAACATAAAATGACAAATACTACAAACAGTAAACCACCGCTAAGAATATAAAAAGCCATTGCTTGTTGATGATGTGGTGCTGACAGACAAGGGACGGTGCATCACAGTGTCAGCACCTGCTGCAAAAAACTGCCACTTTTGGAGGGGTTGAGGGGGTGGGCACGGTGCAAGAGCGTGGGGTTAGCTCAGGGAGGCCCTGAGGCAGCTGCCGTGGACTCCGTGCCTGCAGGTGTGGAGCGCGAATGCTGAGCACAGCCATGAGCGATTGCCTCCAGTATACTTGTAAATGTGTTTTTAAGTCCGTCCTCATTAATGCTTTTCTGTAGTT